TTTTTGTTGCAGAAATATATGAGCGTCGCTCTTTGTGTACAAGACTTTCTACATTCAACAATAATGTTTGTGAAAGGAAATCCTTTGAATAGTGGGATTTTTAAGCTAGCGATAGGTCCCAGCTGCATGTGTAAGCACTAAGCAGTACTGCAACTCGGATAGCAGCTCGGATAGGGGCTGACTGAGTGACGAACAAATATGAGACACGCGAGCTGTACTTTAGTGTCAATCGCGTTATGCGCGATGCTGAACCTTTTCACTTTTAATTAAATGAAACAATGACCTCAGCCAATCGCAAGCATACGGTGTATAGTGAATCGTGTGTCGTCTGATTCGGCGCTAGAGTTTTAGATGGTGAACTTTGTGTGACGTATATATATATATATATATATATATATATATATATATATATATATATATATTTACGTCAGCAGACACTCCACAACACGGTGGCTATTACGTGTCAATTGTCAGTGAATAAAACGGTTGGGGAAGTCAAATGGGACACGGCACACAACAATCATCCGCTGAAACAACAGCACACACAACACTAACACACGCACAATCACTCCAAATAAAAGAAACGTTGACCTAACGTCATAAAAGACGGCATTACCTAACGACGTCATTGTGATTCATTGTATTCATTATCATTTTTTTCATATTTTTATGGTGGCGATCAAATTGAGGGTAAGGTCAGGAAAAAATCGGAAACTGAGCTCTTGCTATATTGCGATTTCTATTGCCTTTGAAAACAATTTACAATGCAATGCTCCTCCAGAGCACACTTTAATTACTAGCCACTTACTGCGTTATCGGCTCAAAATCGATTTTTCGCTCATTTCGAACGAATTGGTTTATAATCGCACCCGCCCGACATCTGTGCTAAAGCACGGAGCACAGATGTAAAAATGTAGGTATCTGGAGCCCCTGGTGGCTAAAAACGATTAGGTTCCTCAACGAAGGTGTCCTATTTCTAGAAAAACTTTGTGAGTAAAAATATCTTTCATGGTTGGCGGAACTCACAGGTTTTGAAAACTGCTGAACTATGAAGTAGTAATAGACAATTATATAAAAATTTTGACTTCCAATAAGTACATAAAAAGTAAGTATGCTGATTGAAAAGCGTCAAGGCTACTCAAGTATGAGTTTTAAGCTTGCCCGATCGTTTCAAGTGCGCAAATGAATATGGCACAAGACGAGCAATAGGAGAGAATAGAAAGTCAAAAAGTAAAAACAAGAGTAAGATATACCTATGGCCTTGAGTAAGATGATATTTCCGGTTGATTTTCGGCTCGTCAGTGCTATAGGGCTTTCGTCAGTGCTTGAGGTATCGAGACTTCACGTGCGCTTTTCTCTAGATTTTCTCTGAAGCGCTTAGAGCGATTAGACTGGCTTAAAAATGACTTTAAGTTGTTTTTCGTTTCCACATGAGTATAAGACTGTAGATGTTCCTACCTAACTAAAGCGCCCCCACATTGTGCGCTAAGTAGAAACATAAAGGGAAGCAATATCACTGTTTATCATCTACTTGACGTTTTATTACCTATGTTTTCTTAGCAAAATGAATGAGCCTCAAATGTGTGCCAGAGTAACTCCACGTAAGCTCTATTGGCAATACAAGCATGAGACAAATCCGATCAAAACTTTCGCCATATCAGATCGGACAGGCTTCATCGGATCACTGTAGGCGTCAACTGTCACCAGCATTTGCACATATTTACACATTGATTTGACGTACAAAGCCGATTAATCTGTTACGCACAGTCATTAAATCCAACAACAGCTGCACAGAGGATTAATATCGCCCATTTATTGCGCAAACAATATCGGGTTTTCCGTAAATCCCTATGCATAAAATACACGATTACCTTCTTGCTTCGCTACCACGTGCCGTATTGACCTGACGTACTTGTTACACCAAGGTGGGCTCGATCAGAAGTCTTAGGTACGCACTAATCCTTGCTTCTCTTTTAGTAATCCTACCGCATACTTACGGGTACGCATACTGCGCCTTGACATGACATCACACATTACAGCGAGCAGAGCTTAAGTGATGCAAGTACTCGCTTCACTGACAGAATCTCACTGATCTTATATAATACACGAGGTTTGGCTTACATCAGAGGGAGTTTATAATAACAATCGGGTGAGGGTCGGCTGGAGATGATTGATTGGGAAATGTTGGTTGATTCGGTCAGGAGTTGGTGAAGAGATGAATGGGGAAACTGCTGGGACGATCAGGGCTTTGGAGGCTTTTGGGGGCTTTGGCGGCAAATGAGGCTGAGAAGAGTTTAATCTGACACACCAGCACGACCCACGACCGTCCCAAATTTCAAGCAAGAGTTGCATTTGAAGACGAAAAATGTTTCTGAGCTTTGCTTAGATATTGTAGATATTGTTGTGTCTTTCAGATTCCTAATATATGGTAAAAGTGAGGGCACTGAGGGGCCGGCTCTGTTCAGCCTGGCACTGGATTAATCACTACATCCATTCAAAACAATCAAGCTAACTAGAAAAAAAACTGTTTAGAACACTCGTAGTTGCTTCTCTCTCTGTTTCTCTGTTAACAGTAAAAGTTTTAAAAGTTTATCTGATTTATATCAAAGAGTGGAACACAGATGACAGATGACACATTCTTGAGAAGATCCGGGCGAGAACACGTTGAGCATTATCCAAAAACAGGTAAATGACTTTAGGATAATATGCTTATGAGAATATTGTCGAAGCTTCTACATAAAAGAAGGCATGGATAAGATCATGATAGCCAGACCAGTTATGTAACAGGCTGATCAGATGAACACTGTAGATGACACGATCATCTGTACCCTTTCGTAAGCAGACATATGCGTGGATCCGAGAAAATGGATCTGGGATCTGATCCCACTGATCCTGATCTAGGATCCGTCGGGATCATAGATCCGGCTCTTCAATTTATCGCGAGATCCGTATGGATCATAAATCCGAGGCTTATGTTTTGCTTGAGATTCGGTGAGATCATAGACCCACATTTATTTTTTGTCAACTCAGAAATACCAGAAAATCACTCGTTGCAACTCACAAACGTTCTGTTTTAGAGATTAGACACTTGAAGCCTGATTTTAAATTCTGTGCATGGTGGGGTCAACTCGGATCATAGATCCATGTTCTTGGTTTATCGTTAGATCCTATGAGATCATACATCCATATTACATTTTTCATGCCCGATCCGTTAAGAATGAGATGATGAATCCTAACCTGCAGTTTGCTCCGAGATCCACTGAGCTCATAGATCCAGCACTCGGATCCATGCACATGTCTGCGTAAAAGAAGTGTTTTTCTAAATACCTCAAGACAAACGCATAGGTGGAGCGTTGTGATGATGTCAGGGGGTCCTTTTCAGCGATGTACGAGCGCGCTTTAAAATTCCTACGTAGTAGAGCACATGCGGTTCCCAGCAGCTCTGTCGTCTACGCGACTGTCTACACGACTGTCTACACGACTGTCTACACGACTGTCTACACGACTTCCCAGTAAAATTCATTGCCAAAAAAAAAAATGATGGGTACCGTTCATAACCCGATATGATCTCAGGGACATAAGGAGGGGTCACATGTGCAATTTTCCTTTTCAGTGTGTCTATTTTACCTGTATCCGGATGTTTGAGAATGTCTAGAATGGCGTTCGTCCAAAAGAGACGTCTTTCAATTTTCTCCCATTGGCTGATAATGGAGTGGTTTCAAAATTGACCTGACCTTAGGTCACTGATACTGAAACTTGGAAGTAAAAACTTTATGCATATACCAATCGCTGAAAGTTTAAAGGCGATCATTCAGTCGGTGTAGCTATGACAAGCATTCTAAGTTTTTCTGAGCTGAGGTCACTTGGCGTGACCTGGTGACCTGACCTGGAGCAACCTTTGTCTGAAATTGTGATGTGGAGGTGAGGAGGAGAAGCAGCTGTGAAAAAGTGAGAAGCAGCTGCGGCAAAGGTCATCGGCCTCTCCCAGCCCCAATCCGAGGCGCGCTGCCCGACACAGGGTGATCATTTTAAGCGCCAACGCTGACAGTAAGAAAGGCGGAACAATTTTGTTTTTGTTCCGCTCAAATGTCTAACTATTGCTTTTCCAAGGACGTGTCACTTTACTTTGCTGAGTGTAAAAAGCCGTGGCAATAACGTCTTGCTTTATTTTATTTCCAAAAGTAGAACTGCAGTCGTAAGTGACGTAAATGACATCCCGCAGACACCAGTGGCAGCCTTACGCTATATAGCTCGGGAGAAGGACTGAAAGAAAGAAGAGGATGAGTGACGAAATGGGTCCCCAACTGACTTTTGCACGGCACCCTACAAACCGGTTCCTAACCGTGTACCAAATTTGAGCGCAATCGGTTCAGCTGTTCTTTAGATCTGGAAGCGATCCCTGCACGTGCGCACGTGCCGCAGCACCCCAACTGTGACACAAGGGACTGCATTGCCTGGTTGGTGCCTACCTACATGCCAAGTTTCAGCGAAATCGGCCCAGTAATCACCGAGATATTACAACTATTACAAAACTGACACCTCTTCGTTTTGGACGTGGCACGTGCATAAGGGGTTACCGACATGCATCGGGAATAGAATAGTCCAATACTTGGTAGAAGGAATGAAGCTACCGGCTACACAAATTACCGCAAGTAAGTCGGTCCAGTGGTTGCGGAGACATAAACTTCGGAAAAGCGTGCCACCACGGCAGGCCGCTCATTCTCAGAAATTTCTGCTATTCTACGAAAGACTTCGATCAGTCCGCCCGCTCCGTAACACGTCCAGACATTTTGCATTATCATCACTGCAAAGTGCGTTGTTTGTTTTTCAGCATTGAAGATCTAGTTTTCAATTCGTCAACCGGTTTCTGAGAATATCTCTTCACATTTCTCGCTTCGGTTCTCCATCATCTACTAACTAGCAGAGCTGAGAGATCAGTTCCTAACCCGTTTTTCCGGTCTGGGGTTATGCCAACGTGCAGGGCACGAGCCCGCCCCGCCCCGGCAAGGTCCCTCCAGCCGGGATGGTATAAAGACCGACGGTGGACTCTGGTCAGCAGTCAGCAATCAGCAGCCTTAGCAGTCACAGACCGTCAGCAGAATCAGCAGTCACCATGAAAACCTCACTGGCACTGGTTCTCTCTTTGATGGTAAGGGATTTTATATTACGATTTAGTTTGAATGCTGCACTTAAAAGAAATAAAGCGAAGTTTCTGCACGCCTCAAATTAGCTCACTGACCTCTTACTGAATATTATGCACCTGTTTACCTCACTTGAACTCTGTGGGACCCTCCCTGACCCCTGGTGACCTCGTTTGACCTCTGTTTGACCCCTGCTGTCTCTGGTGACCTCGTTTGACCTCTATCTGACCCCTGCTGTCCCCACTGACCTCATTTGACCTCTATCTGACCCCTGCTGTCCCCACTGACCTCGTTTGACCTCCCTCTGATGCCTGATGACCCCTGATGACCTCGTTTGACCTCTGTGTGACCCCTCCAGGCGGTGACCGCCGTGTCAGCCGGCTCGGGACCGACACAAGACAGCCGCCAGGGCCGCCTGCTGCTGCTGCTCGGCAAGAAGAAGCTGCTGGCTGCCGCGCCGCTGCTCGCCAAGGGCGGCGCCGTCAAGGCGATCGCCGCCAAGGGCGCCACCGTGGGCAAACTCAAGGGTCTGGGCGGCGTGGCCGGTGTGGCCGGTGTGGCTGGTGTGGCCGGTGTGGCCGGTGTCAGCGGCGCCGCTCAGCCCGGCTACGTGGTGGCCCAGCGCCCGCAGCCGGTGTACGTGCAGCAGCAGCAGCAGCCGGTGTACGTGCAGCAGCAGCAGCAGCCGGTGTACGTGCAGCAGCCGACCGTGGTGGCCGTGCAGCAGCAGCAGCCTGTGTACGTGAAGCAGCCGACCGTGGTGGCCGTGCAGCAGCAGCAGCCTGTGTACGTGCAGCAGAGCCACCCGACGTACGTGCAGCAGAGCCAATATGGCCGCTAGATAATCAGACTGAGGTCTGTGACCAGCTGCTGACAGCTGGGGCCAGCTGCTAACAGCTGGGGACAGCTGCTAACAGCTGGGGCCAGCTGCCTGGAGTGGCCGTTATAGCTTTAGGCTCCTACTGCTGCAAAAAAATTGACGTCGTCGAAACATTTTTTTCTGAAGTCTTGGATTGCTATTTTCAGTGGTGTTATGATGTTCTTTGAGGAACCGTGACGTATGCGTGTTGTCGCATTCATTATTGTTGTTCAGTCGTTGTTTTACAAGTTATATCGAAAATACATTTTGTGTATTACCAATATAATTGCTTGTCTCCATTCCATTCTAAAGATAGTCTCGCAACTCGGACGCAATCATCACAAAATCCACTCAATAGATTATTGCCCGTAAGCAGTGGCGGCGGAACACCTTCAATTAACTCTCGCCGGCACGGGGGTGATGCAACCCCCCTGAAGTTTTTCGCGAATAACTCGCGTAAAAAGCGGCTGATCACAACGAAACTTTCAGCACCCTCGCATTGATTAATTTTACACCTACCCATAAAATTTCATGACCCTGATCCAAATGACTGTTGTCCTGTGAGCTACTTTTCGAGACCATGTTTGGCCAAAATCGCGATTCGTCGTGTCGGCTCGCATTACCCGTGTGTTTGCAAGCTTTTTGTAGTTTCAGGCGTTCAAACATGTGATTTGATGTTGCTACCATGCATTAGGGTGGATGTCAAGGTCACCTGAAGGTCAGGTCAGGTCATTGACCTTTGGTGACCTCCGTTCACTTTTTGGAGTCTTGCATGTTTCTAGGCAAGTTTTTGGAGCTGAATTCGAATTTAGCAACCATTTCAACATTTACGAAGTAGTTTTGGCGTCTTCCTAACATGTTACGAAGTTTTTCAGAGGCGATGGACACGTACTAAGAATACCCGTCACGACCCCCACTGGTTGACCTAACCTGACCTGATCCGACCTGGTCTAAATGCTTAAAGACATCATCTGTTATCAAAACTAACACGATATTCGTGATCAGCACCCCAAAATTCCCATGCAGCCACACTTTACGACTTTCTAACAGGTCCCGATTTTCCCGACTTTTGGGTCACTGACCTGACCTGGAAGGTCATCGGATGACCTAGTACCCTAAAATTGGGTATCATCGGCTTACTCTGGTGACGGGCAACACGCTCGTTTTTTTTCCACGAAGCTCTAGCTCGATCAGGGGCCAAACGCGAGGGGGGTCGTAACAACCAACCAGCCCTTGTGCCGTCGAAGGACTCAAAATGGCCTGTGCCGACGAGGGTTAAGGGGGAGGGGGCACTGCCGACTCTTGGTCCCATTCTTCCCATCAACGCCCATAGGGATAACGTTAAAATGCTAAAATCAACGGAGGATACGGTGCCCCGGTGCCTTTCCCCCACCCCCCCCCCCCCCGTTCCGCCGCATATGCCCGTAAATGGAATTGGAATGTAAAAAAGTAATTATGAGGAAACGGAAGCGCAAACTTCGCATCTCAAGGTCACGGTGAACGTCACTGACCCTACATGACCTTGGTACACTTTTTTCGAGTTTTGCATTTGTTTATATGGTAGTTTTGGAGTTCATTTCGAAATTGACACCCATCCGAACATATCAGAAGTAGTATTGTTATATAGTTAGCATCTTACGAAGCCATCATTGGTGATTGATAGCTTTTATAACCTGCGCCCTGCTGGGAGGGGGAAGGGGTGAACAGTGAACACCCCCTTGTGTTTTTGGCACACCTTATTATACATTTGTTCTGCACATGTTACGCTCGGCTGGGATCAGGTGCTGAGAGCCTGAGAGCTGCTGACAGCTGGGGCCATGTTTCACATGGCTCTATGCACCTAATAACATGTTATGCTATGTTACGCTAGAGAACTGGTAATAGCCGTTTTCACGGCGTGCTATCCGGCGAATGCACTTGATTTGACCAAATATGCACCTAATCTCTTTTACAGCAAATATCTTCATTTTATGAATTCATTTCAGTGTTTTAATCGATGATGCTCTCTGATAATACGACAAAGCAGGCATACAAGCAGTTAGTGTAGCCCTGGCTGATGCTACTAAGAGACACACTGAACCTGATTTGACCAAATCTGCACCTGATCTGCACCAGATGTGCACCAAGTGTGTACCAGATGGCCGTCGTGAAAACGGCTTATATTATTGGACAACAGTGTTGAGCAGGGGCGCGGGAACTACTTTCAGACTGGGGAGAACACCATAATAGAGATCAACCTAGGGTACCCCCCCCCCCCCCTCCTAATCTAGCTTTCTCACCGGTTTTAGGCCACTTATTTTTCATCCCCTGGCTTTTTCAACAAAAAAGAGAACATTTGCGAAAAAGTGCCATATTCCGTCTCAAAGTTGTGGGGACACCGCCCCCACGGCCCCAGAGTTGGGGAGGGGGGGGGGGCAAGCTGCCCCCACAATACATAGGCACATAGGCAGGCGTCTATGGTGTTGAGTGTAAATTATTGCGTAGGCTTCAGACATCTTTGGACAAATGGCTGGCCTGGACATTTTTGGAAGGACAGTCGACGTGAGTATTGGACATTGGACGGACGTTGGATATACATTTTCTGAAACTGACGCCACCAATCCTGACCCTCCACTCAGCCGCCGGTAGCGTGTTTACCATCTCCCTTCCAAAACAACAGGGTCAGGCCCCGGTGAAGGGGTTCACTGACCGCTCCGTGAGGGGGGTGGAGAGGGGAGGGGGAGGGCGGTGGCCGCCTCATTCCACCCTCAGCCGTCACCTGGAGAGGTCCGACACGTCATCTCGTCCCAGCAAGATGGCGCCGAGACTGACGTTATTACTGGCGGTGAGTGCTGAGCCATTCCGTATGCTCATACATATGCTATAATATTGAACGATGAGCTAATTAACCATGCGTAGGTCTGATTTTGAGATATGCCAAGAAATAATCTTTAATAAAATGTGTGGCCCTGACCTAGGCTTGACTGACCACTTCATGGATCTGACATTCATATAGCACTTCTATGAAGGATTGTGCCTATTTTAACCCGCGCCGCGCTGGGCTATTCAGCCATATGCGCCCTGATGGGGGGGCAGATTCTGCCCCCCCTGTCTAACTTCCGAACCGATGGTCGTAGAAAGACGGGGAGAACGGCAATCGAAAGCTCTCAACAAGGCGGATCTTAACCCTATTCCTGGCGGGGGGGGCCTCAGGAGCCCCCCCCCCCTGAGGTTTTTTGGTTATTTCTCCCAAACGCGTTGAGCTAGGAAGCTCAAATTTTCTGACTTTTCCTAAAAGGCTTCTACGCAACATGTCTGAAAATTTTGAGTTGATCTGACCTCAGGTCAGGTCACCAGAGGCGGTTTGGTGACCCTACCTCAGAAAAGTTTGCAATCACGCCAGAGCTAGAGTTTTTGACCGATCAATTTCTTCTCTTCAGACTTTAGTTAGGGTACCAGTATGTGCAATTTGTATATCTCGGAATTTTGATATCGGTGACCTAAGGTCAGGTCAGTTTCGCGACCTCCCCATTATAAGTCAATGGGGGAAAAATCAACTCCCTGTTTTTACCACTAAAACGGGTCGGAATGACCCCATACACCATACATGACTTCATATACGATCAACCTTCACTACCTTGAGGTCTGTTTTGCTGTTGGGCAGCTGTGAGGTCATGTGACGTCATCAAAGGTCACCATAGGATTTTGGCCAATAACTCCGTACAGGAACAAGATACAGACGCGTGGATGGTCTCATTGTGTTCAGCTCGTCAAGACGCATCGAATGATATACATGATGACCTCGAGGTCACGTGACCTGAGGTCAACCTTTGACCTTGACCTTTCGAGGTCAACATATATATCATTCGATGCGGATTGACGAGAGGATCACGATGATGCCCTTAGTTTGTTCCTATCTTGACTAATTCGAAAGTTATTCGAGAAAAACTCTCTCCATATCTAGCGCCGCCATTTTGACTTTTTCGACCCCTGTGACGTCATCTTTGACCTGACCTGAAAATGACCTTTGTAAAAATTGTAGACCTTGTCCATGCGTATCCGATGCCGTTTACCGCTTGTCGCTATCTTGCTTCGTTCTCGAGATCTCAGGGGGGCCGAATCGCCCCCCCCCCCGCCAGTTTCTTGTCCCGGCGGAGCCCGCCAGGAATAGGGTTAAGAGCCCAAATTTTGTTGCTTAAGTAGGTCAGAGGTCAGGTCAAGGTCAGGTCAAGGGTACAAAATGCAAGTTTCTACAGTACCGGCCTTGCACCGTAGTTGCCGAAGAATGGACTGAGACTGATTGCCCAAAACGTGTTCTTAGACTACCAAGACAATATTTGTTGCATACAATGTCATTCAAAGGTCAAGGTCAAGGTAAGGTCAGGTCAGGTCAGGTCACCAAAAACAAAATATAGAAAAGAGCATGTGCGACACATGTTTTATGGGTCATTTTACTCATAGAATTCAATAGGCACACTCAATAAGTGATATGGACCACCTCTGGATGAATTTCAGGTCGAGGTCAGGTCAAGGTCAGGTCAAGTGAGGTCAAATTTTGAAGTTGGGTGTTTAGCCCTAAAAGGGTGTCTATCTGACGCAGTTTTTCACGGTGAATCGAATGGTGCTATTTTTGTTTCCGTGCGAGGTCTAGAACTTCCATAAAATCATTTTTCAAAAATTTTGTGTGTCGTGACGTCATAAAATTTTAAATAACTTCCACATTTTTGAACCGATTCTTCTAAAAATTCGTATGTAGGTGCACATAGACGACTTCTCTGACATATATTCCGGTTTTTATACACTCAAAATTTTGGATTTTATAATTATTTTCTCAAAAAAGTCAGTTTTTTTAAATTTGGGCCAGAATCCAAAATTTTCAAAAAACCGAGATAGCCATTTGATAGACAAAGTAGAATCACGTATAACCTTTTTGTTACGTCTTGATTCCTTTAAAAATGAAGATGTTAGCGGCGTTTGAAATTTTGCCGTTTTTTAGGCGAAAATGGCGAACATGACGTCACTAAAACGTCAACTTCTCAAAAACATTCTGACGGATTTCGCTCAAATTTTCCGGGAACGTGTCAAATTGATGTATGATAAGGTACTGAAAGATTGACGTCGCTGGCGTAACGGGTTAATAGAAGTTATTGGCGAAAAACGGGAGGGGGCAGATTCTGCCCCCCCCCCCCTCCAGCGGGGCGCGGGTTAAAGGACGACGTTCATGACGAGAGACGCCCAGCGCTACGCTACCAAGCTACTGAAAGCCCAATTTCAGGTGTTTGACTTGACATTGCCCTGACCTGTGGCCTTGAAGCGTAGATTTTAAATACTCCTTTTAAGCGTCTTATCGCGCTCTTTCGCTTGCCGTCTCGTGCGTTCCTCCCCAGCAACTAATTAGTAATACCCCAACAACTGCCGGCTTAATTAACCCGGCAGTTGCTGGGGTATTTCGCCACCCACCGTTTGCTGGGGGGGGGGGGGGCGTTAAACGCCCCCAGCCGATAACTCGAGAACCAATAGCGCAGCGAAACGCACTAGGCGGCAAACGAAAGAACGCGACGAGACGCTTCAGATGAGTACTTTAAAGTTGAATTTTGAGGTCACAGGTCGGGTCAAGGTCAGGTCAAACACCTGAAATCGGGTTTTCAGTAGCATGGACTTCAGGACTTCGCAATGGGCGTCTCTCGTCATAAACTCTGTCAAAACGGTGCACAATCCATCATATAAGGCCTACAAGAGTGTCAGCTCCATAAAGGGGCCATTCAAGCATAGGTCAGGGTCAAGGTCAGGTCAACCGGGTAGGCACATATCCCCGAAAATCAAAACTGATATTCGCAGCCTGTGACACATGATTTATGGGTAATTTGGGGCGTAGAACACGATGGTGACATTCATTATATCATATGTGTACGTGTTTGGCTCAAAAAGTTCAATTTAAGAAATGCATGTATAATGGTCGTGAAGCAGTCACGTGAAATTGCCAAGATTCAGTTCAAAATTTTGGAAAATTCGGAGCGATAATCAATAATCGACGATAGCTATTTGATTGTTCATGGCATTGGCAGTCTATTGGCGTTTACGGCATGTCTGTATATTTATTCTGTGATTTTATATGATTTTTTGAACATATGCCATTTTTGGTCAAAAACTCAGAAATAATGACGTCTCTAAAACCTTGATATCTCAAAAATTTTCCGACCGATTTTTTTGAAACTTTTTCACAATAAACTTCAATTAATTCCCTACAGGTATCCAAAATTTGGCGCGCCTGCAACGCGCCGTTTTTATGCTATGGCCTGGCGAAAAAAGTGGGGGCGTTTAACGCCCCCCCCCCCCCAGCAACTCGCGGGTTAACTCTATTCCAGGCCGAGGGCCAAAAAGGACACTCGTTTTTTTTTGTTACATTGCCAAACACCGCAAGACTCATAATCATAATCAGTAACGTTTTTTCATTCATTGCCTTTGCGAGCATTCTCGAAAAAAAAAAGAAAATGCCAGCCCAGATCAAAAACCAGTCATTAGAGCGGGTTTGTTCATTGTTGACCCTACCCCAGAAAAGTTTCCGCTCACGCAAGGACTTTAGCACGCACACCGACGGGGGTCTGCACCAACTTAGAACCGACGGGGGGCGGATGACCGCCCCCCCCCCCCCGAGATCTCGAGAACGAAGCAAGATAGCGACAAGTGGTAAACGGCATGGGATATGCACGGAAAAGGTCTACAATTTTTACACAGGTCATTTTCAGGTCAGGTCAAAGATGACGTCACAGGGGTCAAAAAATCAAAATGGCGGCGCTAGATATGGATATAATTTTTCTCGAATAACTTTGGAACTAGTCAAGATAGGAACAAACTAAGGGCAGCATCGTGATCCTCTCGTCAATCCACATCGAATGATATATATGTTGACCTCGAAAGTTCAAGTTCAAAGGTTGACCTCAGGTCACGTGACCTCGAGGTCATCATGCATATCAATCGATGCGCCTTGACGAGATGAACACAATGATACCACCCGTGCGGCTGTATCCTGTTCCTGTACGGAGTTATTGGCAAAAAACCCTTTGGTGACCTTTGATGACGTCACATGACCTTACAGCTGCCCAACAGCAAAACAGACCTCAAGGTAGTGAAGATTGATCGTATATGAAGTCATGTATGGTTTATGGGGTCATTCCGACCCGTTTTAGTGGTAAAAACAGGTAGTTGATTTTTCCCCCATTGACTTATAATGGGGAGGTCGAGAAATTGACGTGCCTTTAGGTCATCGATATCAAAATTCCGAGATAAACAAATTGTAGCTACTAATGACCTTATAACATCCTGCGACTTTCAAAGGCCTCCGACATCTACTGTAGCTCTGGCACGGTGACAAAGTTGCAAAAAAGTGACCTGAGGTTGGGTCATTCAAAGTGACCTGGTGACCTGACCTTAAAAGTTAGGAAGTTCAAACTTGCACACCATGTGTTAAATTGATTAGAGAATAGTCGTACCAAAATTCGCGGCGCTACGCGCCGGGGTTTTCCCGCCATCTACGAAAACACTCAGGGGGGCGGATATCCGCCCCCCGTCGGTGCGCGGGTTAACCCGCGCCCCGTAGGGGGGGCCGAAACGCCCCCCCCTGTCCTTTTCGGTCGATATCTCCTAAACGGCTGGAGATATCGCCAACAAACTTTCAGGACCCCTCCGGGCATCAATTTTACACATTGTGACCAAAAATTGTTCCAGAGGCTATGATAGATTGGCCACAAATGACGTCAGAATGACGTCATGTTCTGCCATTTTCGACCGAAAAAAGACCTTCGCGAGAAGACCTGTCAGGACTACAGCTTTGAAGATACAGAAAAATGATCAGACATAAAAGGTGTAGAATTGACAGGGCTAAAAAACTGCCATCTCGAATTTTTGAAATTTTTGAGTTTTGGCCCCCAAAAATCAAAAAAGCATTTTTTTTATATATTCGCCAAAAAATCCAAAAAGTTTTTTGAGTTTCAAAAAAACGGAATATATGTGATAGTGCCTACCGTCTTCTATCTACATACCAAATTTCAGATCGATACCTCGTTTTTTGGCCAAATGACGTCAAATTTTCAAACTCAATTTTTGGCAATTCTGGAACTCGTAGAGCAAAACGAAGACCGCCATTAGACTTCCCGTGACGAGCTGCATCGAATCGATACCCATTTTATGCAAAATATCAACTTTTAAATTTGACCTAATTTGACCTGACCTTGACCTGATCTTCACCAAAACGTGACCTAGGCTGGCCCCAAAGGCTGCCTAACCCACATAATCGCATTTGTCATGTAAAATGGACCATAAAACATGCATCACACGACACATTCATATTGTGACCCCCGGTGACCTGACCTCGCTGTGACCTGACCTGGTATCAGTGACCTCAGATAGCAAAGTATGTGTTTGACGAACAATGTACCATCGATGGTTTTCAATAAATTACCAATTTACACGCTTTCACAGCACATTTCTTGAATTGCCTGTGAACGGTGAAAATCTGACCTTTGACCTGACCTGTGACGTCATCGGTTTGACCTAGGTCAATGAAATTTGGTCACAAGGTAGTTCCCAGGTGGGGCTATCGAACGCCGTTTGAATTTTGAAAATCGGCCGGTAACTTTCCGAGATCTTAGGGGGGGCCGAAACGCCCCCCCCCCCCCCCTACGGGTGGTAGGGTCCGCCGGTAGCCCTACGGGGCGCGGGTTAAGTGTTCTTCGGTCTCTCCTTTCAGCTTGACTTCTGGGCCATGCAGTGTTCGAAAGGTCGTCAAAATTATGAAATTTTACTCCAGTAGGGGAGAGCGGGGCCAGTTGAACCACTTTTTATATATTGACATGCACAGCGAGATCTAGTTGACATTTCGAAAAATGCACAATGCCATGAAAAAATATGCTCTTTTGGCTTTATTTTAAGATATGTAAAATTATGTTTCAAACATATTTTGCTGCCAAACGCATGCTTATAAAACAGCTCTACGCCCGTTTCAAATGACCCCGATGCCAGGGTCAATTGAACCAGCCCATGGGGTCAATTGCACCTATCCTTAACAATGGGATGTTTTCCTCTTTAAGGCCACTTTCTTAAGGAGATATTTTGTCCGGTTTACTTTTCCAAATGCTACATTCAATAGGTCGTTGGAAAGCTTAAAGTGCAAAGTTCCTCATAATAGGTGACATAAAGTACATAGACTATGGTAAAATGGGCGGATGAGGAAAATGAGAAATATCTCAGGCTATAGTGTGCTTTCAAGTTTCAAGCAAAAGGCTGGAGAAAAAAGGTTCAAAAATTGAGCTCTATTAAACTACTATTTCAGTTTAAAAGCTCATTTCAAAGGTGCACTATTTCCTTTAATGTTTACAGCCCCTGAACAATAACCATTGCAAAGGTCACCGGGGTCCATTGAAACGGCCTGTGGCCCTGTTTCAACTGACCCTCAGAGAAGCGTTTCAATTGACCCCATCCGCTCCCGCCACCTCGCACGCGCCGTAAAGCACATGTCAAACGAGCTGCAGGGACGGCATCATGCTGAATGAAGGGCCAAATAAGGTGTTATTCCGGAGCCAGGAATTCTTCTTTCAGCAAACACAGGTATATGAGATATCACAAAATATTCATAAAAACGATTTCTCCCAAACGCCCCTCAAAAACACAAAAACAAGTGTCAAATCAAAATTACCGTCCGTTTGCCGCCCAAACGCCGTTGACAAAGGAAGTGGTCGAGCGTGGATGCCCAGTGGTGTCGGCAACGCCATATGTTGCATACTGTTGAAAATAAAGCCATGTTTCATCTGACCCCGTGTTTCAACTGGCCCCGCTCTCCCCTAATGCTTTGGCAATGTTCGAAAGGATGCGAAATTTAAAACAAATAGCGAAGCCATTTTTAGGTCAAGCCAACTTTTTGCTTTTGGCTAGTGCTGGCTTTCTCCAGTGACCTTAACCCGCGCCCTGCTGGGGGGGGGGGGGTGTTTGAACACCCCCCTTGTGGTTTTTCGCGAATATCTCAAAAACGGCTACACCTTATCATACATCAATTCTACACATGTTGTGAAAATTTCAGACTAAGGTCATTCAAGGTCAGGTCACTTGAAGTGACCTCACCTCATAAAAAGTTTCAATGTCTGTTATAGCTACACCGAGTGACCGATCGCTTTGAAACTTTCAGCGATTGCTAAGAGCAATAGCATGTACAAAATGTATATCTCAGAATTTTGATATCGATGACCTAAGGTCAGGTCAATTTTGCGACCTCGCCATTATAAGTCAATGGGAGCAAATTGAAATGCGCCTCTTTTGGACGAAAGACATTATAAACACTCCCAAACACTGAATTACAAGTGGTTTAGACACACTGAACATTAAAATGGTGTCCGTGACCCCTGTTTATGCCCTGAGGTCATCTTAGGTCACGAATGGTATCTAACAGTTTTTCGCAAATAACTTTTGATAGAGGCATGCTAGAGCGATGAAAACGCCTTAGATGTGTTCAGCTCGACGATACGGATCGACTGATATGCAACATGACCCTTTCCGGTCAGGTTTTCCGGTCAACATGACCTTGACCTGAGGTCAAATTTTCAAGTTGACCTTTCAAGGTCAAGTTATAGTTCATTCGATGCGTCTTGACGAGAGGAACACGATGCCGGTAAAAGTAAGCTCGTACAAGGCTTGGGTCAAAAGTTATTGCAGAAAAACTGTTCCCGAAAAAAATCGGCTATTTTTGCAGTTTCTGCCCCCTGCAGGCAAAACCGTTGACGTTAGGTCAAATCTGAGAGAATCACTCAGAAAGGGCGTTAATAGGGCTATCGAATGCGCTTTTCTGCGGCGCTGTAGCTCTATTGGTTCCCGAGTTATGCGTTGGCTTCTTGGAAATTGTCGACATTCGACCTGGAAATCGGCGAAATTTTGCCTTCAATGACCTCTGGTGACCTGACCTTTGACCTGACCAAAAAATTGACCGAAGTGATTTTGTCATTATTTTTGACGCTCTTTCGAACGCCGCCTTCCGCGTATCGCTACGTGGCCCAGGAGCCGAGTTAGAAGGGGGGTGTTCAAACACCCCCCCCCAGCAGGGCGTGGAAATCCAGGACCCCCCAGCCAGGCGCGGGTTAAATTGATGCCTTAGAGAGCAAACACCTACAAAAAATGGACGATTTATCAAACTTTTCCGTGCAAATTGTTTACCAAAGGCGCCTCCAATATTGACATTACCACCATCGTCTTTCTAACGTTAAGATAAATACTCTGTACTCTCAGAATGAAAACTGAGATAATCTACAGTTTGACCTAATATGACCTAATAATTGAATACCTGACCAGAAAATTTGACTGAATGAACATTTGACTGAATGAACATAAATAGCTGAACGCAATGTAGCCTGGCAGAAAATACTAATGTTACATATCGGTCTGTTATTCTTATCAATCGCTGAAAGTTTCAAAGTGATCGTTCAGTCGGTGTAGCTCCAGCGAACCTTGGAACTTTTTCTGAGGTAAGGTCACTTGACGTGACCTGGTCACCTGACCTTGAATGAATTTGGTCTAAGATTTTCACAGCATGTGTGTAAAGGATGCACTAACAGGTTTACAAAAAACGGCGGTGCTGCGCTCTGCCGTTTTTGAGATATTTGCGAAAAATCTGAGGGGGGCGTAAAAACGCGCACGACACGGCGCTGACTGATTAGCTTAAATATTTGTTGAAAAAAACAACAAAGTAATTTCGTTATTATTCGTTAAGCTATTTTTTTTAAATATTTGTATTTGATGAGCTCTGGTGACGTTGATATTGACGTGACGTGAAAGTGCGTACTATTAAGTTGCCGGTTCGATTTGTCGCTCCGATGCATGTTAACGATCTGAGAGGGAGGTCGGAAAAGCGTCCCGCCCGAAACTGAGCCTTTCAGAGGCCACCAGGAAGGGAATAAACCATTTGTCATAATGTTTCAGCTCTCCCTGCTGCAGTACATGTAACACCTCAGCTCTCTACCACGTGACTCTGTGTGTGTGTTTCAGCTCTCCCTGCTGCAGTACACCCCGGGTCTCAAGATCCGGGTCCCTGTGCTAAGGGTGTCAATACCCTGTGTGAGGGATCTCGACTGTGGAGATGGGGGAAGGTGTGTTGTGTCGGGGGTAGGTCTGTGTGGAAAACCCAGCGGAGAACAGGAACAGGTCAGTGTGGGGAGGGGAACAGTGGCAGACTGGGAAAATGTGGGGGGGGGGTAACACTCACAGACTGGGATAACTGAGCTCGCGTGAGGACGGGGCAGTGGCAGACTGGGAAAATGTGGGGGAAGGGTAACACGCATAGACTGGGATAACTGAGCTCGCGTGAGGACGGGGCAGTGGCAGACTGGGAAAATGTGGGTGAAGGGTAACACGCACAGACTGGGATAACTGAGCTCGCGTGGGGACGGGGCAGTGGCAGACTGGGAAAATGTGGGGTGTGGAGGGGCGGCGGGGGGATCACCCACAGACCGGGATAAGTAAGCTTTTGGATAAGAAACACGTGAACTGCAATTTTGGGGAATGCAGTTGTGAGACATTTTTGCAGGGCAAAGACATTTGGGATAATGAAAGCACAGCTGACAAAGAGAAATAAATTACTGGCATCAAGTCCTCGAGGAATATTAGGGAATCAATTAAATTGCAGTCAATTTAGGAATTCAATGCTGCTTACAATCATTTACGTAAATGTGACACATTCGTGCAATCAAAAATGGATTGATTGATTAATTTATCGCATACTATTCAGAGTTTCAAGAAAACATAGCCAGTATTTGTATTTAAATGTGGCTTAATATTTCGACCACCACTGAGAAGCGTTTTTCAAAGCGAAATTTCGAAGAGCAATTATTAGATTCCCTATACTACACCCTAGGATATTACACTATTCTACGTGATTTTGCATTGATAAAGAATGCTCAATGGACTTGAAATATTTGCCATCATTTAAATAAGAATACATGCTATTTATGTACCCTTGAAACTCTGAAAAGTATACCATTAATTCATCAACCTGAGTAGAAAATATATAAGAAGACTTTGAAGTCCCTCAAAAATCGATGTCAAACGTTGTCTCAGAAACGTATGACTAGTCTCCCCGTCCTTCTCTTTTTCATTTCAGGCGAGGTCTTCATCATCTCAGCTGAGTGAGACCAACATCACATCCCCCCACGCCTTCAACACCTCCTTCAACACCATCTCCAACATCACGGACCTACCACCTCGTCAGCTACGGCACCTTCAGGCTCCTCCAGCGCCCTGTCTCTGGGACGAACAGTGTGCCAGCGGTCACTGTGTCAAGGTCGGGGTCGGTGTGTGCACAGTGGATCACCGCTGCGACGTTTGTGGGCCAAAACAGTGGTGCGATGGGAAGAAATGTCTCTCAAAGAGGACTTACAACTCCTCCTGTGATAGAGAGGAGCAGTGTGAGTCCTCCGTCTGTCGAGGAGGACTCTGTGGCTGTGAGGAGGATGAGGAGTGCTCCTCAGAGGAGTTCTGCAGCTCAGATGGCACGTGCGAGGAGAGAAAATCGTATGCCTCTTCGTGTGAAAACAATGAGCAATGCAAGAGCCTTCTGTGCATTGATGGCAGTAGCGGAAAACAATGCGGCTGTGATGACTCCGACTGCTCTTCTGCGGAAATATGTAGTTCTAGAGGCACGTGCGAAGCTAAAAAATCGTATCAATCTTCGTGTGAGAGTGATGAGGAGTGCAAAAGCCTTCTGTGCGTTGTTGGTGCGAGTGGAAAACGATGCGCCTGCGGAGATGACTCCGACTGCTCTTCCGGAGAGCGTTGCTTGTCCGACGGAAGCTGTATCGTGCCAAAGTCAGACAGAAGCCGCTGCGCAGCTGACGAAGAATGTATCAGTAATGATTGCTGGGTACTCTCTGGTAAATGCAGATGTACTGATGACAGTTGTCCTTCCGACGAATATTGCAAGCCTTTATTGGGGGTTTGTGGTGCAAAACTATCCAGTGGTGTGAAATGCATATACGATGGCCAGTGTCGTAGTGGTAATTGCCGCTGTATTAGACCTAGATGTTCTTGCGACTGATTTACATAATGTTACGTAGTGTTACGTTTGTTTGTAATATTACAAGTCTAGTACTGTTCCTCGAGTCTTTACTTCATCAATCGGTTTCTGTTTTTGGTATTGTAAAATTGATGGACGATGATTTAGCTGGTATAATACAAGGTGTGACAAGAACTATCGGAAATTTTTTTATGAACATAGAGTTAAAAACTTAAACAAAGCATAGTCCCATTTTAATTGGTCCTTTCCCAAGCATATGTAGCTTTGCGTTTGCTTCGACTAAGCACGAAAGTGATCGACAAAATTAGTTTCCCATAGGATTCCCAATACCCTTGTCACGGTGTAATCAATCTAAGATAGGGACACAGAGCCAGTGGCGCAGCCAGGGGGGGTCAGAGGGTCAGCTGACCCCCCCCCCCCGAAATTTCTGTCGGGGGCCCGCTCGAGAGAGAGAGGGGGAGAGAGAAAGAGAGAGGGAGGGAGAGAGAGAGAGAGAGAGAGAGAGAGAGAGAGAGAGAGAGAGAGAGAGAGAGAGAGAGAGAGAGAGAGAGAGAGAGAGAGAGAGGAGAGGTCCTAATCTAATTGGACGAGTCCGCTTCGAGAAATGCCTACTGGGACACCACGGGTGAGGGTCGGCCTGGGGCTCCAGGTGGATGGGGCCCGGGCCCCCGGGAGAACGGGCCCGGGCCCCCTGGGTGGATGGGACCCGGGCCCCGTGGATGGGTCCGAGCCCCCCGGTGGATTAGGCCCGGGCCCCGATGGATGGGGTCCGGGGCCCCCGGTGGATGGGTCCGGGTCCCCGGGAGAACGGGCCCCGAGCCCCGGGTGGACGGGGCCCGAACCCCCGGGAGAACGGGTCCGGGCCCCCGGATAAAGGGGGCCGGGGCCCCCGGTGGATGGACCAGGGCCCCCGGGAGAACGGGCCCGGGCCCCCCGGTGGATGGGGCCCGGGACCCCCGGTGGATGGGCCCGGGCCCCCGGGAGAACGGGCCCGGGCCCCCAGGAGAACGGGCCCGGGCCCTTGGGAGAACGGGCCCTGGCCCCCTGGGTGGATGGGGCCCGGGGCCCCGGGTGGATGGGGCTCGGGCCCCCTGGTGGACGGGCCCCGGAGCCCCGGGTGGATGGGGGCCGGAGCCCAGGTGGACGTGGCCCGGGCCCCCGTGTGGATAGGGCCCGGGCCCTCGGGTGAATGGGGCCCCCTAGGGCCTAGGGTGACCCGCTTGCTCCGCAACGCGAATAAGGGATATTTTCGATCGGTGGGCGTTTGGTTGGTCTTGTGTCCGTGGGTTATGTATCCATTTCGGTCGATTGCCTTTTGACGGCTAAGTATTTTGGTTTAGGAAAAAATATCCATCGCATCGAGGTGCTCGTGTCTGATAACCATGCGTTCTACTATCGTTAGGCGGCACGGGCGGACATCGATAGCAGCGCCTCTATCGGTCACTAGGGAAAGCTGGGCTGTAGGCGACGATATACCGGCTGAGTTGTCACACGTTGAATAGGTTCACAAGCCATCCGTCTTGCGAAAAAGTTGAACTTTTGCCTTTAATATTTCTACTGGCAATTTTAGAAGTGTCTTCTCATGGATTACAAAACCGTTTAGATTATTGTATTCACTTCAAGTCTTCCCTATTGTTCTTGATGATGCGGGAACTATTTCTAATTAGTGTTTCTAGCTTAGTAAAAGAACATACTGTGCAAACGATGAAAAAAGCATAAATGGAAGATTTTAAATGCAATTTTCTCTAACAATTAATGGTAAATTCTCTACATATCAAGAAAAAGGTGCATGCTATTTGATAATTTAAAGTTCTTGGGGCCAGTTGTTTTCTTCTTTTCTTACGTCGCCCCAATGGCCGCGAATACACTTGTGATAACGCCTATCGATAGAACATGTCAAGTATATTTCATAACATAGGTTGACGTAGGCTACCTATTGAAAAATGGAGGCCATCGATGAATTACTATGTAGAGGTTTGAAACGTTTATATTTTTAAGAATAATGTTGTTCTTCATGCAAAAGCGATGAATGGATCTTGGACAGCATTGAATGCTCTTTTCAACTATGCCATTTTCAATTGTCAAACGTACCAGTTTATGCAGCAAAACCCGTGTAATTAAGTAGGTAAGTCATGAACAAATGTCATTTTCTTCAGCGATTTGTTCCACCTTGCTTTTTATCAATTAGCTTTTCACAATTTTTCCATGAGAGGCGGTACGTTTTTCTTGACAACAGGCGTTGTTTGAACCCGCTCCGTCTGACAGTCACCCGTCCAAAAGTCAATTTTTCAAGCATAAGTGCCCTAACGGGTGCACGTGGCACATGCCATCCCTGCACCGCACACCATTCGATAGCCCGTTCGATTATCATATACGATAATGTGCTCCCCGTGCCGATCGGACCCACGGTTACCGAGATACTGCACGAGGACCGGACCCGTGTCGGGCAAATTTAGCTATTTTCGCCCGATTTTGCAAGCCGATTTATACATGTAAAGTCAATGACGCGAATATACACTTTTTGAGCACGCGCCATGTGCTCACCACCGGCCCGATCGAGCTGAGACCCCTCACAGGCACGTTGCCCATCCTTTTTTTCAATCGGTTGCGCAAATTTCAGCGCACTGGGTGCAACGGTCACTCTAGCCTATACCTACACCGCGTTAAGTAACACCATGCCGGGACCACGGTAACCTACAGAATCTACGTCACCACATCATCACACCACAACAAACCCGGCCCAAGGCAATACATGTCTCGTGAGCGCGTTAACCCTCGCTGGCACAGGCCATTTTGCGTCCTTCGACGGCACAATTACGACCCCCTCGCGTTTGGCCCATGATCGAGCTAGAACTTCGCGGAAAAAAAAAACGAGCGTGTTGCCCGTGACGAGAGGAAGCCGATGATCCCCAATTTAAAGGTCCTAGGTCATTGGTTGACCTTACAGGTCAGGTCAATGACCCAAAAGTCGGGAAAATCTTGACCTGTTAGAACGTCGTAAAATGTAGCTGCTATAGGGCTTTTCGGGGTGCTGATCACGAACATGATGTTAGTTTTGATCGCAGATGATGTCTTAATGCATTTAGGCCAGGTCGGGTCAGGTCAGGTCAGGTCAGGTCAGTTCAGTTCAACCAGTAGGGATCGTGACGGGTATTCGTAGTACATACGTGTCAGCCGCCTCTGACAGCTTCGTAACATGCTATACGAAGGCATCAAAACTGCTTAAATGTTCAAATGGTTGCTAAATTCGAATTCAGCTAAACAAAAACTATCCTAGAAACATGCATGGCTTGAAAAAGTGTACTGAGGTCCTCATAGGTCAATGACCTGACCTGACCTTCAGGTGACATTGACATCCACCCTTATGCATGGGAGCAACATCAAATCACATGTTTGAACGCTTGAAACCACGAAAGGACTGCAAACGCGCCGCTAATGCGAGCCGGCATGCGCCGAACCGCGATTCTGGCCAAACATGGTCTCGGAAAGTAGGCCAACTTTGGCCTACTTTCTGACCTTTAGGTCGGAATTTGACCTTGAATTGGCCTTTAGGTCATTTGGGTCAGGGTCACAAAATTTCTAGGGTAGGTGTAAAATTGACCAACGCGAGGGTACTGAAAGTTACGTCGCGATCGATCAGTCGCTTTTTACGCAAGTTAGTTGCGAAAAAAAAACTTTAGGAGGGTTGCATCAGCCCCTTCCCCCCTGTGCCGCGAGGGTTAAAACTTCTTGTGAGCGAATTCACGTGATGAAGAAGAATAAAGGCACAATCTACTACAGCAGCCAATAGATGACTTAGAACAGGCACATGGGACTAGTTAAATATTGTCCGACAGAAGCAGGCAACAGTTCCGAATGCATATATGCTATGCATATTGCGGAAGGGGCACATTTCGGCCTCGAAAGATACAAATTCTTACGTCATAGTAACATATTTTTGTCGTGGTCAATTTGCGTAAATATTGAACACCGGGTGATTACCGAGCTATTGTTCTATCCAAATGTTCTGATTCAAACTCGCTCAGGGTTATCGTGCAGGTAAAGGGGCCCCCTCAGCAGAATGTGTATGAAATATTGGTCATTTCACGATGGAACCGTGCAAATTATATTAGCGGGAAGTTGCGCCCTAGTCACCTCCCACCTCCGCCAGCGCCAGGTCGTACCTCAACACGGAACAGGCCGTGCCACCTAGGTGCGCCGGGGAGAACTACAGGTCGCATAGTGCCACCAGATGTCGCGCAAACACGACAGGCGCAGATAATTAGATTTTAGATCGTGGGTGATATATTGTAACAGCGTTGATTTCTACCATGCATGTATTTTAGCAACTAACAGCATGGGCGCAGGCACTGGAACCACAACGGCTACCACAACTGCACGTAAGTATGTCCGACATACGACTTATGTTTGGACTCTAGGCAACGCTGCCCAAGCGGCCTTTTCCGTTAGGACGCCGAGCGACGGAGTGCGCGCAGCATTTTTTTTTTTGTTTTGTTTACCGGTTGAAACCCGCGGAGAGTAGAGTGATAGCTTTAGCGGCGGCTACCGCCACCATGGGTCGACCAAGAAGGAACACCGGTGAGTTACCAGCTATCCGGCCTGTTAGTTACGCGCGGGCCCTTCGCACGAGGCAATCATGGCGCGCCCCTCTAACCGGCGGTCTAATTTTCGTCAGCCAATTAGTCTGCCAAGTTGCTTGAATACTGGCAGTTGGCACTTTTGTTCTGTTACTACCCTTCGCCCCATACTAATGTGGCCGCCCGTCTCAGATACTCAGTTGGCCCTCCGGGCGGTCACATACACCAGCTTGTAGCTTGGCCCTGAACTATGCCCTGCCCACTGGCATGTCATGCCATGCCAGCGCCACCTTCACAATCTTGCTCGGTTACATGCACCAGTGTCATCGGTTCGCACTAAACACTGCCCTAACCGCACACTGGCACGCCATCCCGAGGGCATGCCCGACAAAGCCGGCCATACCCAGGGGTGGAGATTTGCCTAAATCCCAGGGGATGCTTTTCTGTTTGATACTTTGGTTAACAAGCTGCTATGTTGGTTTTGCTTTGTTTGTGGGGGTGCTTTGCGATATGAAGGGGT